TATATATATATATATATATATATATATATATATATATTATATATATATATATATATATATATATATATATATATATATATATATATATATATATATATATTTGTGTTATAAATGTATGTAGTAAGTACATACTGTAACCTTTTTCACTAAACCTAATGAAACATCACAATTAGAATAATGTGTTGCTGTTGAACCACATGTATAAATAGTCACACCACCCAGACGAAGGAACACTCCCCCCTTCAGTGACGTCACTAGTGTTTACACTACACCATGAGTATAATTGATGACATTACTTGAAGTGAATTGGCCTTATTTAAAAATCAAGGATGGTTGGTAAAGGACTACTGAGTCAGTGGGTAAGTGTCACATTTGGGTACTGGTCTTATACAGCAAATAGAGCTCAAAAGCTACTTTTTAAATGGAAATTTGGGGGCGTCTTATGCACCCCGCATATACTAGCCGTGATATACGGTAGTCATTTTAACATTTATTTAACATATTGATAATATATGCAGTACAGGAACTAGTTAGTTGTGCACCCATCAGATCGTGGGTCTGTCACCAGCAGGGCTGTCGATTTCGACTCTTGTTTATTGAACACGCTGATTGGTTCAACCGTCCATTCCCTGTTAATACTAAATTGATGAGATGGCGTAAGTCGATGGCCATTAGTCACTGCTCATTGTGAAAATTACTGACTTTGGAAAGATGCTTTCATGGCTAAAATACCATATAGAATACACAGAAATAAATTGTGGATGTATTTAAATACCTTACCTACAATTTACTAGCGATATTTTAGCAGAACTAAAGTAATACAAATTACAATTGATAAAATACAAATCTAATGTGATCTCTTATAGCACTCTGAATGGTGTATAATGCAGTGTTTATTATTCAGAAGTTTTAAAACTAATGACAGGAACAATGAAATTCACTGAGTATGAGGACTACTCTGATATAATTACTGTATCTGGGATCTTAGTTACCCTCGCCACACATTCTATTATAGAAAATCATAATATTATCAGGTGTTCATGTCCAACCAATCCAACGGAGCAGTTGAACCAATGATGTTGATGAAACAAGAGTCAGAAATCTCCAGCCATGGTCACCAGGCGCCAGTCTGGCTTTGTTTTCATGGAGAGCATTTATTTTGTTGGTGTCTTGAATATTTTGCTTTTTCATTGAAATTATTGGTCATTCTGAACTTTAGTTAACATATTGATAATATATAGTGTAGTGCAGTGTTGATTTAAATAAAATGATCTTGAATTACACCTAGTGAACTTAAAATTTTGTGGGTGAAATGAGGCATCAAGTATGGGTCCAAAAAGGTGATTTTTCCTCCATACCACTTCCTTCTTCTCCTTCTTCTCCCCCCACTTCTAATTCCCATCATCATCCGTCAACTAGGAACCTTCTACACACCTCCCTAAGTAAGTGTACTCTACTGCATTTTTTTTTACTTTATACTGTATGTACTTTTAGGTGAGCTGGAACCAATTACCCAATATCCCATTGAAACAATGGATTCTGTTAACAAAATTTTGGTTAACATAATGACCTTCTGGAATGGTGTGTTAGTTAACGAGGACCATTGTAATGTCTAATATTATAACCAATATCCTATCCCCGATCACTCAAATGACCCTAAACGTGTTTCTAATGATCTGTAAACCCCTCCCTCTCACATATCTTAAAATAAAAATTAAAGACAACATAATAAAAGACGCAAATAAAATAAATATTATTTTGTATACAGTTGAGCCTGGATTTACGGGTTTGCTTACGCTCTTGGTCATTTACACGCACCTTGCCAGAATGAAATGTTTTAATTACAAGGTAAATTTCATCATTTACGGTGTGAAGTATAATTTGTTTATTTACTGAAGATATATATGTTTTTAGCTCATAAAAATATATAATTTACATTGCTGGAATCCTACAAGATGGTGACTAAATATAAACATCTTTAAAATTTGCATTAGACATAAAAATTTTAGATGTAATTTAAGGAGATGATGAAAGTTAGCAAACATTTTATCTTATGTGTAAAAATATATGATGTTTACATTCAAAATATTCCCTGTCCCGCAGGAACCAGCAATGTCAATTATATTATCCTAACTTTAGTCTGAGGTATTATTTATTACTAAAAATGTAAAACTACTGTTTTAACCCAAACATTTCTCTGGGGAGGGAAGGGGTAGGAGACCCATCGAGCGTGGGAAGAGGGGGGAGTGGAGGTGGGGCATTTTGATTGACAGATAATGTGTGGGTGAAATATAATTTGTTTATTTACTGAAGAAATTAGTTTTAGTACATAAAATTTGCACAAATTACGCCAGAATAGGATTTACATTGCTGAATTTACAAGATGGTGACCATTTTAAATATAAACATCTTAAAATTTGCATTAGACATACAAACATTTTATGTTTTGTGCAAAAATATATGACGCTACATTCAAAATATTCCTGACCTGCAAGGAATCCAGCAATGTCAATTATATTATCCTAACTTAGTTTGAGGTATTATTTATTCCTTTACTCTAAATCTAAGTGTCACCCAAACATTTTTCAGAGAGAGAGAGTCAGCGAAGCGTGAAGAGGGAGGGGGAGTTGAGTCCATTATTTTTGAATGGACATTAACCGGCGACTGTATTTCTTAAATATTTATTGTGTGTGCATACCATCATAAAATTAAGATGTTATTTTTACTACAACGAGGTATTGTGTTGGAAAGTGGAGTTTGGGGTCGGCCCAGCTCTATTTCAATTAATCCCATATGTTCTGTTATCACATATGTGTTTTCGCTTTTACGCTGGCCTCCACGGGTTCAATTGACCGCCAGAATGCAGACTCAACTGTAGTAATGGACCTAAAAAATACAAAGCATATGGAATACTGTACAGTAAGTCCTGTTTAACGCTGCCTCAATAACGCTGCTTTATAGCGTGTTACTCTTTAGATACCTTTACCGGTTAACATCCTGAAGACTCAATATAACGCCGTTTTAGCATTGTCACAGACTTCTTTTTATGGAGCATCACCTCTCGACTTGCTGTGCTACGCTTCTTCTTCTTGCACTGCCTCTCACTCTTATGAACGCCACAGCCTCCCCAGCCGCCGCCAGTCTTGTGCTAGGCTTTCACAGCCGCTCATGCGTGCTTAAGTGTTTTTTCTCTTAATTCAGTGGTCTCGGTTAACTAACACAATTCGTTCCACAGAGTTGTTTGTTAACCGAAAATTTTGTTAACCGAATCCATTATTTCAATGGGATATTGGTAATTGGTTCCAGCTCACAGAAAAGTTCATACTAAGTAAAATAAAATGCAGTAAAGTACACTTACTTTGGAGGTGTGTATGTAGAAGGTCTGGTTGATGATGATGATGGGAATTAGAAGTGGGGGTGGAGGAGAAGGGAGAAGAGAAGGAAGTGGGGATGGAGGAGAAATCACCTTTCGGGGACCATGCTTGATGCAGTATTTCATCAATAAAATTTTAAGTTCACTAGGTGTAATTCCAAGATTATTTTATTTAAATCAACACTGCACTGAGCTATATATTGTCAATATGTTAACTAAAAATTTCAGAATGATCAATAATTTTAATGTAAAAGTGCAAAAATATTCAAGACACCAACAAAATCGATATCACTGCAAACAAAACCAAACTACCTAGTGGGTGAGCTGTTGCTGATGGAGCATCAAAAACTAGTTCCCTGTACCATATATATTAATTATCAATTTGTTAACTAAATTTTCAAGTGACTAGTAATTTTAATATAAAAGCAAAATATTAAAGAGCACATCTTTCTTGATATTTGCTCCACTGGAAACGAATGTAAACATAGAACAGATTACTGAATTGACAGACTGGCCCTCAGCTGATCAGCTGATGCTCACAACAAAACGTGTTGTTCAGAAGGACGTTAATCGAAGTTTTGTTCGTTAACCCATTTGAGGATCCTTATGGAGGTAATTCGTTAATCGAACCGCTTGTTAACCGAGAGGGACCACTGTACTGTAACCATTCAATATGGCTTCCAAGCACTCATTAAGTGCTAATGATGCAAGTGTTAAGAACGAAGACATTTATTTTACATAAGATAAAATTTCAGTCCTAAAGTGTAGTACATTTAAGCTGCGTTTTCAACTCATATTTTTGGGTGGATACACATAACTTTCTTCATTTATTTTTATTCACTTACATGGCCAATACGTCTGATTCCACAATAACGCTTTCACATTAACGGTAAGTTACACAGATACCCATTTTCACAATAACGCTCTGGATTCTCTTGAATAACAGAGATTTCACGGAAGGCCCCAGCACATCAATGATAGCGTTTGTTTGCAGCCATGTTGATGACGTAGTTGTCTGTTCACTCTCACTCTCACACACGCCTGTGGAATACAGCGCCATGCCCATGTGAGATTTTCACCCCATAACCAGTGGTTGTG